TTTGAATTGTGTAGTTTATTAAAATTTAATTTTGGTTAATAATATAGAAGAAGATAGTAATATAAAAGAAAAAAAAGATGTAAAAAAATGTAGAATTTGCAACTTAAAAGGTAATAACACATGCATGTATTCAGATTTAGCAGTATCTAATAGTTCAGAAGACAATTCAGAAGATGATAATTCAGAAGGAGATAATTCAGAAGGAAATGATTCAGAAGGAAATAACTTAGAAGAAACTAGTATTAAATGAAAATATAGAATTTGTAATTTGAGAGATCACAATACACAGACTTGCTCAAATAAATAAGTTCAATATTAATATTGCTGTAACAAAAAGTCTTGAAGCATATGTAATTAGCTTTTATAATAGCTTTTCATTTTTACTAATTAGATAGGATGCTTAATTTGTGTGAATTATAAATGTCTCTATTTCTAGTTAATATTAAATTGCAATGTAACATATATTTTATTCTTTAAAGTTTGCTAATGTTAGAGAACCTTTGCTTAGTACATGGATAGTTTTTAACATATTTGAAAATAAATATTTTTAAAATGAAAAAAATTTAAATTTTATTCATAAGTAGTAAATTTTGAGTAGAATTGTTATAGTTCTGGTCACTTCACTAGCACTCAATTCGCTAATATCTTGTTTTATTAACAATTAACTTATCGACAAGTTTATTTTACTAACAGTTATTTTACTAATAACTTAATTCTCGTTAAGATCAAGTTTAAAATTAAAGTTAAGGTTAGTACAATTTTTAAAAAACATGTTAATAAAATAATTGTTAATGAAATAAAATTGTTAATAAAATAAAATAACACAGATCTGAAGTTATAAACAATTGAAATCTGAATATTAATCAATCATCAGAGTAACTTATATATTCAAGGTACTTTTGAAAGTATAAAATTATACAAGAAAAATTATTACAATTTTTTATAATCTATATTCAAAGAAACATAATTTTTCAAAAGAGGTAATTATATATGATTTATACACTCAATATCTAGCTCAAATATTGTGTTTTTTCATCCATCTTGTTTGCACACCTACTCTATCTCAATAACATTCTTCTTTCACCTTTACATGTATATATATAATAGACAGTTTAATATTGTTCACTAGAATGTAGATTTGTTACTTAAAAAAACTTAAAGGTAGAAGTTCGATTTTACACTCAAACTTTTAATTACACTACCATTATTCAAGTTTGTTAGTATGAGAATTTTAGGTTTAGGTTTAAAATATGCATTTATAAGTTAGTTTTGTTTTTAAAGCATGCAATAGTGATTATATTGTAGATTTAGTAGTTTATAGGTTTGTTTTATTTTCTACATATGCGTATATACCCTTAAGAGTGAATATGTATAAGTAAAATTTGAGTTTTCAGAATTCTCCCTTTGTATTAGTTGATTTACAATACAAACAATGCTTTTGAGTTTGTCTAAACAGTCTCTTATAACTAGTGATATGCATATGATACTCAAATTTTTTTTGTACGTAGCATATTACTACTCATAATTAATTAAATTTAGTAGGAACTGCTACTATATATTAACGATTTAGTATTCAACACCATAGTTGCTATATATTAAAGACTTTAGCTTAAAATTTATAAAAAAATATAACAATATAAACATACCTAATTTATTAACCTTAAGGTTAGAGCCTAGTTAGGATTATAGTTAAGGTTAAGTGAAGACATAGTTATAGCAAAATTTTACAAGGAATTTTTTGAAAAACAGCAATATGCTTCATTTTAAGTTACACAATTATATGTAATATTATACTTGTATCCTCATTAGTATGATTGTCCTAGTATGTAGCCACTAGTTACTATTATTATTTATTGTATTATTATATAATCATATGATTTTCAATCTACTTTCTGATACTGGTGTTGAACACCAGTAGTATGATTTAGTAAAACTATATTATTTTTTTTTTTTTTTTATCTTGAGCGATCTTACCCATCATTTATTCGGAGAAATATCAAAATGATATATAGATACAA